ATTTTTGTTTCTGATGGAAGTTCCTTGTAGTCCAGTGTATAAAACTTATAACTTTGTTAATTGTTATAACTTTATCAAAAATGACCAAATCAGTATATTTTTTTTTATTTAGATGCATGTCTTTATCTATCATTTGGTTTTTTTTATAAATCTAACCCTTTACCTGCCCACAAGAGGGATTCAAAATATTAACTTTTTTTTTTTTAGTTAAAGTAAATCATTAAAATTAATTCAGTTCTGGATATTTCAATAGTAGAATCTTTTTAAATATCAAAAATTACTTAGAAATGATTACTATGATTTCTATTTAAGTGTTCTATTACGATAAAAATGCAAAAAATAATGAGTTTTTCTGATAAATTTACAATAAATAATAATTATAAAACTTTCTGACTGCATATTAATCTTAAAAATAACATTGTTTTAATTCTCATAAAATTTTCTATTTAATGATTCATTCTAGTCAACGAAGGAGTAATTTTGCAGAATAGCAGAAAAAATTCCCAACAAACTTTTTTTTTTTTTGTTTTAATTAGGCAATTGGTGGATTATTCCAAAAGCAACATCAACTCTTATTTCTTTAATTATATCATGATTAGTAGTTCTTTGATTTTAAAATATAATATTTGAATATATACTAATTATAATTATTAAATTTAGTATGAAATTGATATTTAATATTGTAATTTAAACGGAGAAATTATAAAAATAATAAAGAAGTTATATTTTGCTTTACTTTTACGTGTATAAAAATTTAAAGGGCTTGATACAATAATTTTCAATAAAAACTGTTTGTTACTATAAAAAAATGCACTGGACTACAAGGAACTTTCATCAGAAGCAAAAATATACTTTTCTAAATCAACTTTTCGCGTTGTTTTCAAATCTGCAAGTAGACTATTTCTATCACTTCTAATTTTTTATATTATTACTAATTATATATATAAAATAATAATTAAAAGAAAAAAAAATTTGTTTTCAAATTATTACTGATTTGATTTTTAATATGTTAAAAATAATCAGTCCAAATTTTCAATTTTAACCTATTTTTTTGGTTCTTTAAAGTTGATGAAAAATTTTTGATAAAGATTTATGAAAGTTTATAGTAAAATAAATTGAATATATTACCATAACTTTTAGCTCAATTACAAGTTTAAAATTGACATCTAGGCCAGTCAACAAAGGAAAAATTGCGGAAAAAATTTTGTTTTTTTAAAAGTTGAATTAAAATATGTATAATGACATACTAATAGTCCTCAAGATTGGAATTGAGCTTTTTTTTTAAATCCTCGCAAAAGTTCAAAAATATGAGCTTTCTTAATTTTCTCAAAAAAAAATATTTAACTTACAAAAAAAAGTTTCGCACAAAAGTTGTTTAAAAGACAATTATAAATAAAAATATAATCTTATATTTTTTCATTTAAACAAATATTTTTCGAGTTACATTACATTTAATATGAGTAATAAAATTTATATTCCATTTTTTTCATTTTACGGTTACTTTTTATCATGTTATACTTACATTAGACACAATGTTATAAATGCATATGTGTGTATGTGTGAGTTTATTTATTTATTGTATCATTAAAGTGTAGTGTATATTGAGATACAACCGATAGAGTAGGTAATTGATTTGACGCTATATTATTTAAACCCAACTAAACGCTAAATTGTACATTCCGAAATAACAATCATATTATGTCAATTGCCACCGGAATATCTGGTAATATTTTTCTTTTTCTTTGCCTTAATCCCAACTACTTGGGGTCGGGCACCCTTATCCTAAGATTCCACTTGACACGATCTCCCACATCTTCTACGCTCACATCAGCTGTCCTCAAATCGCATTCAATAGCATCCCTCCATCTCTTTTTTGGTCTTCCTCTATCTCTTCTTCCTTCAACATTCATTTCTATAACTGTTCTTACAGCTTTCGATTCTTCTTTCCTCATACCATGACTAAACAATCTAAGTCTATTTTCTGTCATCTTATCCACGATTGACGCAACACCTATACTTCCTCTTATATGCTCGTTCCTTATCCTATCTTCTCTAGTCACTCCACTCATCCAACTAAGCATTCTCATCTCTGCTACACTTATTCTCTGCTCTACTTTCTTATCAACCGCCCAACACTATTAACCATACATCATAGCTGGCCTCACAATTTCATACTAAATTTAAAAACTATAATTAGTATTTATTCATATATTATATTTTAAAATCAAAGAACTACTAATCAGGATATAATTAAAGAAATAAGAGTTCATGTTGCTTTTAAAATATTTCACCAATTTCTCTAAAGGAAACACTATCTACAGATTTGCATCGAAGCGTTTCTTATGATAGTGATTTTAATCACTGTCAGATATCATCTATACTTATCTCATCTATGCCACGTCTATACTGTGCCTCGACCCCACTGTGCTACCGTTTTTTTATAATTAAGTACTAAAATATAACGCAAAAGTAATGCGTTACTTGACACAAAATGGGACAATATTTTTACAACCTGAATTTTAATTATAGAAATAGAAAGAAAAAGAATTTTAGTTATAAAAGAATTTTTTTATGACTTATAAGAATTTTTATGGTTAATTATAGCTTCATGTGCTACTGAAAAGCTATTGGTTTTACTCTGTCGTGTTTTTTTTGTATGACTGGGTGGCATTACTTTGATTCTACTGAACCGATTTTGCTCAACGATACATCGTAAGATCACAAAACGTATCTAGTTAAAGTTATTTGCGCAAAATAAAAAAAATTCTCCTCAATTTTTGTAATAAAGAAAAAATGTCCCCTAAAATTATAGTTGTAAAACAATTTAGTTGATATTTTTAGTTGTCATTGTACATCGAAATACATTTTTGCAAATTTTTTCTTTTTAATCTTTGATAATGTTCAAAAAACTTGAATTTTTAAATTAAAGTTAATACAATTTAATTTACGATAAATAAAAATAAAAATTATTTAAAATCTTGTTTTAAAGGAATTATCGAGGCTAATTAGTTCAAAGTTCACATAATTTTCGACAAATATGGTCGATTTTGTAGTTTTTTGCATAGTAACGAATACATGCTTCATTTTATATTATTTCATATTAATGCTTAGTCAATGTATTATATGATTAAAAAATAAAGACGTATTATATGTACTTGTGAGTGAAACGTGGAAAAATTGTCCTAATAATATTTTTTTTTTCAGTTTTCTCGGGATTTTATACAAAATCGTCCACACACCTTCAAAGTCCGTTAAAAAAATGTCCTTGAGAAAGTATACAAATTTTCTTATTTTCTATGCTTAAACAAGACTAATATTAAGGTTATAAATTAATTTCAATAAATTACTAACATTGATATAGTTGGTAAATAAAATATGAAATACAAACCCAAAAATCTTATAACTTTTGAGAATTTCATTTGTCTAGGGTGTTTCTATATTTTTAAGTTGATTATTCTTTATTACACATTTGGTTATGCAAATTTTTACATTTTTAACAATTTCATTTTCAAGTGTTGTTGTCCCTAAAATAATAACACTAGCAATTGCTTGTGTCATAACTTAAATACGCGTTTTACCTTTATTTTAAAATTGAGTTGTACATCAAATTAAAGAATATATAATTTAAAAATATATCATTATTCTCTCTTAATGACATGCCTATTAGATATATATATATATATATATGTACTATTTCATTTTGAGTAATTTTACAAAAAACCAACAAAAGTCTGTTAAAATTAATTTATTTTTATTTTTAAAAAAGCCATAATATTTCTAATAGCCAAAGTAATTATATATTAATAATAATATTTTTTTTTAAGATCGGGGAAAGATAGTAAATAAAAAATGTGTTGAAATACTTAGCTTTGATGAATTTTGACTTTATGTTCAATTATAGCATTTACTTAAATCTTTCATTTGCTTAAATTTAATGGATTCTAGAAAAATCATAATTTTGAACATAAAAAAATGAAATAAAATCTTAATGGAAATGTCGAGTTTTGGCTATTTATAGCTACTTTATACAACAAATCATTTAAATCAAAACAAAATATATGAATATTGTCAGATTTTAGGCATGCATATCAGCTATAGTCAATTCAAATTTTAACATGGAAAAAGTATATTATTCTAAAATATAATAGTTTGAAATTTATTAAACTTACTATTAGATAAAAATAGAAAGAATGAGCCGACATTTAAATAAGAAAGATCAAATGATTACATTTTACTAGTTAATTTTTTTTTTGGAATATGAATTTTTAATTAATTGTCTTCAGAAAAAAGTGATTAGAAAATGTTGAATAATATTAAAAAGAAATTACTGTAAAAATATTGCAAGTTATACAAACTTTATTATTGTTTAATACTGAGTTAAAATGTAATGAAAATTAAGCTATTAATTAAGTGTTTGTTAAAAAATGTTGTGTCATACATAACCTATAACCTAATCCAACCTATACTACACACTAAGTTAATAAAACTATTTTTTATCTGAACAGTGGGCAAACGGTCAAAAAAAGGGTCATATCCGAATCTGACTGACTGATATGAGATAGATATTATAAGTGATATGAATGGTTTAGTACAAACGTTTTGTTCACAGTAAAAATATCATTTTTAAATTAAAAAATTTTTTTATAATGTGACAACATTGAGTAGTATAACTATGAAAAGACAACTTTTTTTAAAGTTTCTTGACATACTTGGTATTTCTAATTATGAAGTATTTTTAATAAATCCAGTTAAATGATTGTTTTAATATTATTTCTCTTTTATATTTTTAATAATACTAGTAATAACATTTATATTACAACATTTGATGTAAGTATATAAAATAATCTTAGGTATTGCTAAGTTATGTAAAGTTTTCGCGGCTGTCTCAATAAAATTGGTTGATTAATATATACTATCTACTACTTAATATTATCATATAATTTAATCATATAATATTATATATAAAAGTTAAATTTATCTTATTTAGTAACAGTACTTACCGGTAAAATACAATGATATAACAATGTATATATATGTAGCTGGACATCGATTTAATATTGAATTGTACATATTATAGATTGTATTTAATAAAATTTATCTAAAATTTGTATTATTTATTTCTCTTAAATTAAAAGTAAACATTAAAACTCTCACTGAATAGAAAAGCAATTATTATTAAGTAAATATTGTTAAAAAAAAGCCAATAATTTAACAAAAAAACGAGTTTGTCAAGGTTTGTATAACCGTTCGGTTAACCCGAAGGAAGAAAAAGAACATATTGGCGATGTTCTTGAAAACTGCCGCCAAGAGTAGAAAAGAAGAAGAAAAATATACAGGCAGACCGAATAGAAGAAAGCTTAATTTCTCCCACCAAAAGAAAAACTAAAACTGCGTCATATGAAATAATAACTGGCAGCTATAGTTATTGATTATGATAAGGAACTAAATAGTTGAGATTAACTGTTTGACAATAATACATATTAGCTTCGATGCGAAGCTGAGAAGGTATGGGTTTTACTATGATGTGTTTTTTTTTTTTTTTTTTTTTTTTTTTTTTTTTTTTTTTTT